CACAGGCACGTGCCGCCAGGCTGTCGCATGCTGCCGCCCTGCGTCCCTCAGCGCACCTGCTGCGACCTCCGTCCGCCCTTGCCATCCCACCCCTGCTCTGCTGCCTGCTGCCTGCCCCTGCCCCGCTGGCAACAACCGCCTGCCCCTGAACCTGCTGCAGACTTTGTGGAGGAGTGGCGGGACAGGCTGCGGGAGGCGCTGGAGGCGCAGGAGCAGCAGGCCTGCCCCGCCTCCCCCGCTGGCGGCACCGCTGGCGCGGCCGCGGGCGACGCCGACGCTGCTGCCAGCAAGGAGGCGCTGCGGGCTGCGGAGCTGTCTGTCATGACTCAGTTTGCGTTTGGCTTCCAAACCATACAGGCCCCCAAGGCAAGCGGCCGCGACCAGCCACCTAGCCCTGCGCTGCACTGCCTGCAAACTGTGCTTCCTCGCTGCTGCTGCACGTCGCCGGTCCAACCTGCCTGGCTGTGGTGTGCTGCCTGCGGGGTTCAGGTGCTGAGCGATGTGGTGGAGTCGCTGATCGGCGCCGTGTTTGTCGACACGGGCGGCGACATGGGCAGGGTGTGGGAGGTGACGCAGGTGGGCCAGCGAAACTGGGGCAGGCAGCGTGTACCATAGAGTGGGCAGGCAAGCCTGTGGCTATGCTTAAAGGAGCGCCGACCCACCCCGCCGTGTGCGCCCCGGCGCTGCCACCCCCGCCTGGCCCCCTGCAGCGGCTGCTGGACCCCATGGTGGTGCCCGAGACGCTGCCGGTGCACCCCATCAGGAGGCTGCAGGTGGGCTGGGCCGGGCTGGGCTGGCAGCCTTCCCAGGCCCGGCCCTCGCCGCTCCCCACCACCCTCCTGAATACCGGCGTGCATGCCTGTGGGCCGGTGGCGTTGCCTGCCTTGAGCCTGCTGTTGTGCAACGCCCGCCGCTGCCGCAGGAGCTGGTGCAGCGGTGCGGCGTGAACCCTAAGTACGAGGAGGCGGGGCGGGAGCAGGGCGGTGCGGGGCGCGTGCACGTCAAGGTGCAGCTGTGCGGCGCGTGCGCCCGTGCCACCAACCTCCCAGCATCCTGCGTCTCTCTGCTGCGTCGTTCTGCTGGAGGGGCGCAGGCGCCACCCACGCCTGCCCTGCGTGCCGTGCTGTGCATGCAGGTCAGCGCGCAGGGCGTGGTGCTGGGGGAGAGCGTGATGCAGGCCACCAACTTTAGGTGGGCCTGCCAGCGGCGCCGCCCCCGGTGCATCCCGGGGCCTGCCCATGGCTGGCACCTGCTGCGCATGGAAGGAGGAGAGGTGGCAGGCGGAGCTGGAGGGGTGGTGGCGCCAGCACGCGGGAGGGCCGAGTGTTGGGGGCCTTCTCGCTCGTTACCGACACGCGTGCCTCGTGGCTCGCTGTGGCGCAGGGCCGCGTGCCGGCTGGCGGCGGAGGCGGCAGTGAAGGGATGGGCCGACCGCTCCGCAAAGGTGCTGGAGGCCAAGGCAGCTGCTGCCGCTGCCGCTGCTGCTGTAGCAGCAGAAGCAGCGCCAGCTGCCGAGGGAACACCGGCCAGGGATGCACCGCACAGCTGAGTTGGCTGCTGCTGGCACACACCGATCGGCACACCGATTCGCATTACAATTTGTCGCGTTGTACAGCTGAAGCATCAAATAGCAAAGTAGATTCAAATTGATTCAGGTGCGTTGCCTAGAAAGTTTCGATTGCTGGCCGGCGGCCAAGTTGCACATGTAAAGGATCTGCGGCCGCCATGAAGACTCTTGGGGCTGGAAGAGCGCGCCGCGAGCCTGGCCTGCCTCGGCTGGCCTAGGCCAACACAACAGCCGAGACTTGAGTTTGCCTCCATCGCCAACTTGTAATAAACGGGATAGGCACCGAAGCTGCTTGCCGCACCGCCCGGTGGGCAACTGGCGAGGGGGCATGGGGTGGCGCCTCCCGACACGGGTCGCGCTCGCCTGGGAGAGGCGTCTACCTGGCGGGGATCTCGGACAGGTGCTTGGTGGCCTCCTCCAGCTTGGTCTTGGCATCGTTCAGCTGCGAGATGGATAGGGCGCACGCACAGGTGGGTGGGGCCAGCAGCGGGATAGCGGCTGGGTAGGGCCAGCCGCGCTCACACAATGCACGCCATGGCGGCACCCGGCACAGCCCCCTGCTCCTGCCCTGGTGCCGCTGCGTGCCCCCAGCAGCTCGAGAGTCGCCCCTACATGCACCCCTGCATCCGCCATCCCGCGCCGCCGCCGCACCTTTTGCTTCATGGAGGAGAGGGTGGTGTCGGAGGAGGAGGCGCGGTTCTCCACCTCCTGCTTCTGCTGCTTGGCGGCGTCTAGCTCCTTCTGCAGCTCATCCTTTGACGACTTGAGGCTGTTGACCTCGTTCTGCAGGTCGTCCCGCTGCTTCTTGGTGGCATCCAGCTCATGCTGCACCGCATCCTTCTCCTGCTGGCGCTGCACGGCGTCGGCGGGGGGAGGAGGGTGGGGGTGGAGGTGCAAAAGAGTTGGTCCGGGGATTCCGGGAGAGTGGCCGAAGCAGAGCGGCATAGAGGGGAACCTCGCCAGCTGTTGTTAGCCTGCCCGATGGATGATGAGTATGTGCGTGCGAAGTGTAGTGCCAAATGGGCGGCAGCGCACCGTGTTGAGCGCTGCAGTCAGCGCCGCATTCGTCTCCTCTGCAGGATAGTGTGGGAAGGGAAGCGGTCAGCCAGAGTGAGAGGCTGTGTGACATGGGGAGGCCGAGAGGAGGCCCCCGACTGCCATGGGGGACCCGTGCTAGGCGGCGGCAGGCGGCGGCGGCGGCGGGAGTTCGGGGGCACTCGCCTGTGGAGCGCAGCCTGTTGCTGTTGAAGCGGGGTCCCAGGACAAAGGTGCCCAGCAGCAAGCCAAAGACCAGGCCGGCGAACAGAGTGCCCCTGGACGATATGCCCGACTTCTTGTCATATTTGTCGCCCATCGCGATGCGGATTCACGCTTATGGGCACGGCTGCTTGCTAGGGGGCTGGCGAACAGCGGTACCAAGGCGGACACCCTGTTCAGTGGAGCCCGATTCACACGATCTCCAGGCGCTTCAGCGGGAAAGGGCGGGAGGTGCGGGGAGCTGCTCGGTGATGTTGGTGACAGTGCCCCTGCGATCCAATTGGTGGAACCCTCGCCCCCCTGCCAGGTGGAACAGTACATGGCGTAGTCCGCTCGATGGCGGCGACGGTGGGCATGGCGGCACGTGCACGGCAATTTGCCTGGCCACAACATGCAGCTGAACTGGACTACCCTGTGCTCCCCTTTGCCTTGTTGACAGCTGAAGGCGCTGTTTGGCGCAGTGCCAGCGAATTACAGGCTGCTCCAACGCTTGCTCACCAAGCGCCGCCACCGGCCAAACACACAGGATAACGCATACATGCAGCATACACTTGGTCATAAGATGCAATTCGTCAGGAATCAAAGCATTTCAATGCCAGCCTTCTCACGGGCCCAAACACTGCCAAATCCCCACCGCGGTAAAAAAATGGCTCTGGCGTGCCTCCACACGGATGGGTCGCCAAGCCACAGCAGTCGTCGTCCCTGGCTTGACACACGCCTAGGTGTTGATCTCTGACAAGTGCTTGCTGGCCTCATCCAGCTTGGCTTTCGCATCGGCCAGCTGCAGCAAAGCCATGCGCGTGGGCATGAGAGGCTGGCAGCAACGGATGCCAGGCTCCCCGGCAGATCGGGCTGCCCCGGAAGAGCCCAGCATGCTCAGCACCCTGAACTTTGATCGAAGCATGCGAAACCAACCACCATCAACACCCACCTTCTGCTTCATGTTGCCACCCGACTTGTCCTGGCACTCCTTGAGCTGCTGCTTCAGGGAGTCCACCTCCTTCTTCACCGAATCTTGCGACCCCTTGATCCCATCCAGCTCCTTCTGCACCGTGTCCTTCTCCTCCGTGAGCTGCACCGCAGCGGATCAGGTGGCAGAATGGCGACATTGCGGGGGGCGCGCATGGCAGGAGGCCCGGATGCAGCACAAATGCATGCCCGCCCTCGGCCGTAAGGAACCGCAGCGCGCTGGGCGGCGCCGCAGCCTTGCTGGCTGCTGTGCCGCTCACCTTGTCCACCGATGCCTGCAGGGTCTTCTTGGACTCTTCTGCACCAGAGAAATGCCATGCACAGGAACAGGGTCAAGGGTCTTGCACAGCACCGAAGGTGGGAGCGCAGCAGGCGGCACCCTGCCGCCACCAATCCACACCCATAGCCACTGACACCTGCCCCTGCTGCTCCAATCGTGCCTGACGCGCTCAGCTGGGCGACGAGAGGGGCTCGGGTCCGTGGCGCCAGCAGCAGGGCCCCCAGAACCAGGCCGACGATCAGGCCCAGGAAGATGCCGCCTTTGCCGCCGCCCCGCTGGGCAGAACCCATGGTCGCCATGACGGAGCCCTCAACTACCGCAATTTTGACAGAGGAGGCTGGGAGGCGGGCAAGGCAGCGAGGTGGCGAGCCCGTTTTGCGGGTGGAGACGATCTCAGCACGCGAGTACAGAAGAGGGTGGTGAATGCGGGTGGGGAGAGGGAGAACAGGGCGCCCTGTTCATCCTTGTGGCGGCGCCGCGCTGGCAGCAATACTGCAGCACCTGGGCGTCGTCGGCGTAAGTGCCGGTGGTGGTGGTAAGGGCGGCGCCAGGCAGGAGGTTGGCAAGGCCGATGCCGCGGGAGCGCAGGAAGGAGAGGAGGGCCTGTGCAATGAAAAGGTACAGCAGGGGGGCAAGGGGGCACCCCTGCCGCACGCCTGCCCTAAAAAGGGCAGGGGCAGAAATGAAGCCGTTGATCATGGCGCGGGCGTGAGTGTCGGTGAGGAGGGGCCGGACCAGAGAGAGGAAGCCCTCCCCCAGCACCCTCCCCCACGCCCAGCTCAGACATGGCGTGGAGGAGAAAGCCGCGGTCAATGGTGTCATAAGCCTTGCGGAAGTCACAAAACACAGCAAGGGCAGAGCGGCCCAGGCGGCGAAGGAGGTGGGGGAGGAGCTGGAGAGCCATAATGTTGTCGCCGATCTGGCGGCCAGGCACAAAGGCCGCCTGCTCAGGATCGATGATGTGGGGCAGGCAGGGGCCCAGGCGGCGGGCAAGGATCAGGGCGTAGATGCGGTACTCAGCGCCCAACAGGGTGATGGGACGGTAATGGGCAGGGTCAGAGCGGTCGCCCGCCTTGAAGAGGAAGGTGATGAGGCCCTCATGAAAGCGCGGGGGCAGGGCGCCGGTGGAGGCGACGGCAGAAAAGAGGCCGGCAAGAATGGGAGCAAAGGGGGCACGGAAGCGGCGGTACAGGTCGGGCGGGATGCCATCCAGCCCCGGCGCCTTGCCAGGCTGGCCGCGCCTCAGTGCGCGGCACACCTCCTGCTCAGTGACGGTGCTGCTCCCCAGGCCTGCTGCCTGCTCTGGCGCGAGGCGCCGGCCACCCCGCAGGGAGGCCAGCACCTCCTCCTGCGCGGCCGCTGTCGTGGCGGGCTGTGCTGCCACCCCCGCAGAAAACTCCGCTGCCCGCTGAGCCGCTGCGGGTGTGTAGGGCGCCGCCGGCACCGCGCAGCGCCGGGACGCTGGTGGCCTGCCGCGATAGGCGCAGCTTGCGCGACAGGGCAGGGCTGGCCCGCTCGCGGCAGTGCAGCCAGCTGTGGCGCCGCGCCTGCGCAGCCTCAGCTGCGCCCTCGGCGTGGGCTGCTCGCCGCCAAGTGCTGTGTGCTGCCACAAGGTCGGGCAGCGCGCCGTCGTCGCCCGCCCGCCAGCGGGCAGCCAGGCTGTCCAGCGCCGCCCTGGCTGCCACCACCGCCGCACCAGCCTCCCGGCTGGCGCGGTGCAGAGCAACACAAACGGCATACAAGCGGCGCTTGAAGGCGGGCCACCACACCAGGAGGGCGTGGGGGTCGGTAGGAGGGGCCTGCTGAGCCAGCCACTCCTCAAGCTGCTGGCACAGAGCGGGTGAAGAAAGAAAGCCGAGGCGCAGGCGGCGGCGCTGGCGGCCAACAGACGGGGGCTTAAGGCCCAGCAGGGTGACAGAAACAGGGCAATGGTCGGCCAGAGGGGCCGGGCTCACTGTGGGGCTGGTGGTGAAAGGGAGCAGCGGGTCAGAGACGTAGATGCGGTCGAGGCGGCAAAACACTGACCCGTTGGAGAAGGAGAAGGCACGGCGGCCAGGGTGGCGCACGCGCCAGACATCCACCAGCCCGGGGAGGAAGAGGGAGAAGGAGGACTGGGAGGAGGAATCACTGCAGTAGGTGCAGCGGCGGAGGGGGACGTTGGCAATAGAGCGACGGTCAAGGTGGGGATCAGGAGTGAAGTTATAGTCGCCGCCCCACAC